TGCAACATGTTTGACCTGCGACCAGTGTATTTATTTGCAGTCATCGTCTCAACCATGTTCTTTGGCATCTTTAAATTCTGAAGTTCCCAGCGTTTATTCCCAAGAGTTACCAAGTTACACGAGGAGCTGTAACACTTCTAGTGTTAGTCAAATAAAGGACTCCAGTATAGAGGTCTTGTTCTTTTAGCTAAATAATTTTAATTATTGTTTCTCTTTCTGAATGGATCTGTATTTTTTTTAAGGCAGCCAAGATATTGTCAGCGTATCAGACCGGTTTGGTCGAGGGCTTTTGGCAGCGGATGTGTCACGAGTACTCAGATAAAATTAATACATTAGTTGGTTGCCTCCATCAAGCAGAAGAGGAAATACGTCGTCTATCAGGTCAAGAACTGCCCAGGCCATCATTTGACACACCGGTTACTTCAACTGCAACTGGTAGTTTTCGCTGCCATTAACGAGTTTTTCATTAGTTCATTTATTAATCTTAAAAAAGCCGACTCTGTTAAAGGTTTTGATGTCCGAAATGGTCTTCCCCTGGTTGGCTTATCGTTGTTGCAAGCGTCTGCTTTAGCTCCTAACTACAATAAAAATAATTCTGTGGAGTCGACCTTGTGCGATAGTGCATCACTAGCATCAGCACCTAGTTCTAGTGTAAACGTTACAGAAAACGTTAAATCTTCTCTTCAACCAAGTTGTCACGAAGGTACTTTTCGGCATATGTACGTCGGTGAAACGACTTCTTCAAAAATTTCTATTACACCTCTATGTGCTTGGCACTTTTTAGTCAATAGCGAATCACAAACAGCAAATCCTGGATCTAAACTTTCATCCGCTCCAAATGGTGAAGTGGCGAAGTTAGCCTTTTTTATTGCTGTTTCAATTGTTTCTGTTGCTATTACACCGTTTTGAAGATTTATGGGTTTTTTTTAGTAGCACACATCTTTCACCCGCACCCGTAAGAAGTCCTGGTAAAGAAGCAGAGGTTAATTCTGAGACGGTCGAAGATCATGGAAGCATGCAGTCTGAAAAAAGTGATAGCAATTCATTTATTTCTGACGAAGAAGACGAAGAAGAGGAGAAAATGTGGGAGCAAAAGGTTTTGAAATTTTTTAGAGGTTGTACCCCTGCCAAGTCAATGTTTTTTTCTCTAGACTTATTCATTCTGCCATATCCACATCCTTGCTCATCACTTTACTGTTGCAGTCAGCAGAAATGTTGAGGGGAGAGATTTCTGGACCGAGTACTTCCAGGCTAACAACTGCAAAAAAAAAGAAGGTGAGTGAGAAAGTAATACCAGTTCAGCGTTACAAGATCTTTTTCTGACTGAAAGTTAAAGCGGTTTTTTTACCGTATATTCCACAGGTTGATTATGAAGAAACGCAATCTGGTGATTTGGGAAATTCGGTGGTTTCGCAAGTAGCTCCTGGGAACACTGTTGAGCAACCGACCCAGCATTATGTTTTACCATCTCTGAAACCTCCCGTCTCCTCACAGTGCAGGAATATTAACAATGTGAGTTTTTAAGATGCTTGAAGAGTGCTTTACACTCGTAAATTTCTTGTACAATGAGTCTTGCTTTGGATGTGCCTCTTTATTTAATATTTTAGAGTGCCATACCTTCAAGTGCTTGTAGCATATCTGGCTCAGGTTCGAACCATAACTCTTCTTCATTTGTTGGACAATCTTCAAACGGTTTGGAACCAAGGCGTCAGAGCCATGGCATACTCTTTGGGAACTCACGCCCAGTGGTTTCACTTGGCGACCACTCTGGCGGAAGAACCTCGGGAGTAACTGCTCAGGCGAGTACAAGCGCTAATGGCGTTCGCCCGGTGTTGTTAACAGAGGAGCAAGCGAGAGGCCTGTTA